GATGGTGTCCGGTATGTGGAAAAATCTGAAGGCAGACCACAGGAGTTCATGGGGCACAGAGCCAAATGCATTGGCGAGGTCGAGGAAGACTACATGGAGGTCCCTTTTCTCCACCTTGGCCATTTGGATCTGGTGCCAGATCATGCTGGAATGTTCCAAGCAGCCAGAGAACCCTGATATTCCTGCCTTCTGTACAGATGTATCGACGTACGCATTCCTTTGCAGGTACTCGGCCATCCTCTGGGCAATGACCCTAAAGAAGATTTTACCCTCGACATTCAGTAAGGAGATTGGGCAGAATTGGCTGATGTTCACTGCATCCTTCTCCTTGGGGATCAGGACCCCGCCTGCCCTACGCCACACTTTGGGTATTATCTTCTTTTGCCAAGCTGTTCTCATAAGCCTCCAGAGGAACCTCAGGACGTCTGGTGTGTTCTTATACACTTTGTATGGGACTCCATTTGGCCCCGGGGCTGATGCTGTTCTTGCCCTTCGAACTGTGTTTTCCACCTCTTTCCATGTCGGAGGGCTGGTCTCAATATGTTGTTCCGGGGGTTCAATGGGTGGGATATCTGATGGGATGGCCAGATGTTCATGTCGCTTTGAGTCAAAGTTTGTTGTTCTCAGGTGCTCTTCTAGGTCTTTCTTTGTTGTTTTTAGAACTCCACTTTTTTCCTTCGTGAAGAGACTTTTAAGGAACTTGAAGGGATCTTTATAGAATCGAGTTCTAGTTTGTTCTTTCTTCCTTCTGCGTTTCCGTAGGTTCTCTGCTCTACGGAGGGATGCCAACCGGGTTTTGATGTCAGCCTGAAGTGCCTCTATGCCCTCCTTTTCCACTTCCGAGGCTTTCTTCCACTGTTTCTTAAGCTGTCTCCTTTCTTGAACGAGGCGCTTGATTTCTTGTTGCCTCCTGGAAACTAGTGGGGTTGGAACCTTTCTCCCGCCTTTTGCCTCTTGCACTCCAAAGCTTTCTGCCCCGTACTCATAGATGATGTCCCCCATCCTCTCCAACTTCTTCTCCACTGTGCCTCGAAGTTTCTCGAGGGTCAAGGTAAGGTCAGTATTCACTGTTTCTCACAACTTCTTCTCACTGGCGCCAGGCCACTTTACATACGGTCTGTGCCCTGGTAGTCTCCTCTCGACTGCAGGTCTGGGAGGCTGGGTGAGTTCCACTCCTGTTGTTGGTTCCACCTCAGTTGTTACTTCGGTGCTTGAGTTTACGTCCTCCATGACGGTGGTACTGATGCACTGCAAACTATGGTTTGCGTCCAGTTGCTGTGCTTCATTTGACTGATTTGATCGCTTTTGCAGAAAGTAATCAATGCGAGGCCTCTGTCTCTCTTTACCCAAACACCATGGGTTGAGGATCCTGGTGGATCCTCAACCCATGGTGTGATGTAACTTTCTTCCAACCACAGACACATACTTGCATCTGTTTGTGGCCTGCTGTTGCAGCGGAACTTGTGACAGTTGCTGTGGTGTTCTCTTGTGCTGTGCTCTAATTACTCGTAGTCGTTTCCGGTCCAGTCGTTACCATGTTGTCAGTCGATGAGTCATCTTCCGCCCCCGCTCTCGCAGACTCTAGGGGTATTCTCGTATGTTGACTTTCTGTAGCTAAAGCGTGTGTTTCCAACATACTGCGAAGCATGGGAAACTACAGAAATGGGAAGCTAACCCATGACTGTCCCAGTGGGGTCTATTCCCTCCTGTCAGCCGTCTCTCCGTGCCGCATCAAGGACTTTCCCCCTGTTGTCAGCTGATCTTTCTCAACAGTCACTGGACAAGTCCAGATATTCAGATTCCAAAAAACACAGGATGAGATGGTACTATCCTTTGTGCAAGCACTTCCAAGAGTTCATGAACAGTGAGCCTGGTGAAATTTGGGGAGCGCATCGTCAGTAGTGAACCTTTGGTTCCTAGGGTGTTTCGGCCTTTCATACTATACACCCTCCCCAAAGGCGGCCAGCGACAGGGTGATCAATCCTATGCTTGCGTCCCATTCCCAATTAGTCATAGGAGTTGCTTTGTTGGGACTATGCATGGCAGGGGCGTCCTCCTCCCTGAGTCAAGCATTGTTGACTGCATACCTCCTGGCCCTCTCACTTTGGGGCCCAGCTGGGGTCTTTCCTCTTCATTCAGAGCCACTGACTGCTGCCTTCTGCCGCCTCCGATACAGCTCTGATTGCTAAACGCTGGCTCTGGCCCGTAATTCCCAGGTCTCTAAGCAGTCTGGTTGTAGATGTTGCCACAAAACCTCTGCAGCCCACCTCCACTGGTCGGACTTCTGTGTTCCAGCCATGATGCCGTGCTTCGGCAGCTAGATCGGCATAGCGCAGATGTTTTCACTCATAAGCCTCATCTACTGAGTCCTCCCAGGGTACTGTGAGCTCAATTATGAAGACCTTCTTGAGCGAACGGGACCAGAGCACCATGTCAGGTCTTAGGGTGGTGGTTGCGATCTCCGGAGGAAACACAAGTTGCCGGCCAATGTCAGCTAGCATTTTCCAGTAGCGGGCCAAGTGCAGCTGGTCTCGCTCTAATGGTGTAGAGCCGCTCTTCGGTGGTTTAGCCCCTTCGTGGACAAAGGTCGTCCGTAAGGGGTGTGATGCTGCTGGGGGTGGTAGGGTGTTGGTGGCAGCTCGCTTGTCCTCCAGGGCGGACGCAAGGTTTTTAAGGACTTGGTTGTGACGCCAAGTGTAGCGTCCTTGGGTGAGGCTTGTTTTACACCCTGTGAGAATGTGCCTGAGGTTGGCTGGCATGGAACAGAGGGCACAGTCCGGATCTTCACCATACCATTGGTGAAGATTAACTGGTGTTGGAAGGACGTCATATGTTGCTCTGATGGAAAAGCTCAACCGCCTCGCTTCCATGGCCCACAGATCCTTCCCAGCTGATCTTCCTCTTGTCCACACTGTTCCATCGAGTCCACTGTCCCTGTTTGGCAAGAGAGACTGCCTTGGCCCACCTTGCAGCCTCCTCCTGATGGCGTACTTCCTGCACTAGAGTTTACCTTCTGAAACAAATGCTGCCGGAAATCATTGGTTCGGAAGGCCCATAGGCTGTTGAACCTATATCCTATTTATCTAATTATTTTAGCAATAACATTAAACGAGACTTGTATCTGATTTGTGTATAATTTGCTCCATTAACTGATACATCCCAGCAGCTTTTTATATGTTGAGCTTCTTTCACACCATACGTAGCCAACCGTGCGAATCGGAGGTGCAGGGGACGGATGCTGCCCCTACTATACACCATTGTGTGTGTGTGCATGTCTCCTGCTCGCGTATGTGTGGGCATTGTGTGTGCGTAGCGGTTAGCGCGCCACGCTACAAATGTCGGGGTCGCTGGCCTTCGAGATCTCTCCCGGCTATATTCTGACTGCAGGGGTCCCGCCGCTCCCCGACCCATCGCTGCTGTGCGAACCGCCCCTGCTGCCGCTGGGCTCATCGCTCACTGGGCAAGGACTGTCGTCTGATGGTTCCCCTCCCTGGGTCCCCCCACCTCGGGTTCGCGAGAGAGGCATGGCTCGTCGCCGGCTCCCATATGCCTGTTAACACGGCATTGCCTCTCCTTCAATCACACGCGATGCCTCCCCTCACAGAGCTCCGCACAGCACTCACACGCTGCGAGCGTACGTACACACAGCACCGCGCGTGTTCACACTTCTCGTCGAAACCACACGAGGCTACGATTAGTTATTAATGATTTATTATCGGCTCCCTGCGATTTGCTGTTAAATCAGTGTGGAACGACAAGGCTGATCTACGCTAACGCCCAAGGATCTATTCCCGGTTTATCTAATTCGATACGCTCTAAGCGGATTTGGATACTCCTTTACCTCTTTACTCACGGTTGGATGCGCTCGGCGTTCCGTTGGTCTCCTCGCCGCTCACCTTGACGCGTCGCACGGACGTTCGGGTGGCCGAGCTGCAAGCCGTTTCGTGCGCTGACTTTTTGGAGTAAGAGCACCTTTTACCTCTCTGCGTCCTCTTTTTATCCCCCATCTACATCAAAGAATGCCGACCCGAGCGCCTTCTCGGCCAATCAGGTCGCCACGCTCGTTCAGCCCCATTCCCGATTGCTCTAACTATGGGTCCTCCACCGATTGCGGCGTCGATCCACGGGTGCCTTTGTTATGCTAATCAACTGCGGTTTCCATAACAAAGGCTCGCCCCGGCTGCTGCGCTGCGCACACTGTCCCCGCTAATCAGCCGCATTCCAAGATTTCCATAACAATGGGTCTGCTGGCTTGACTGCGGTGCTGGCGGCAGTCCACGGCACCTTTGTTCTGCCAAGCAGCTGCCCCCCCTCCTGGCTTCTCTTTTCGTTCGTGGCTGCGGACCCCTGCCTGCCTTGTCGATACGTGTGTGTGGGGGTGCGTTTCAACCGTGGTGGCTGGACAGCCCCCGCCGTGACCATGCAATCTCAACCCAGGTCACAGCGCCGCGGTGCGAAGTAGCATCGGGGGAGGTCGCCCAATTCCCTGGCCGCAGGAAACCGTGAAGATTATCCCTATGATGGCTTTCGGGTAAAAACCTGCCGGCCAGGTGACCTCCCCTCGGAGCTCTATGGGGGGGGAAATGCGTGAGGGTGTGTTTATTTGGGGGGCGGTGAGGGGGAAGCGGGGTCGGCCCCGTCGCTTGGTGGTGGCGAGGTCGTAGATGGGGCCCCCGCCGAGCGGCTTCGTGGCGGCGGCATCACACAAGCCCGGCAACTCGAGTTTGATTCCCGTTTGCGGCAACAACACCAGTAATGATTGTCGAAACTAGTCCTGGGTATCCCCTAGGTTGACTCAGCCTCAAATGAGTACCTAGTGTGGTGTGTAAACATTGCCACTGGGGAGACAAAGGCGGTCGAGCGTAGTGTTGGTCACCCACCTCTCGTGTACCGTGTCGGCCTTCATAGGTGCCACTCGCTAACAGCACTTTCCGCAAGTCTGCTAAGGCTATATGGGGGGATCTTTGTCTGTGTTGTGTTTCTTGTGCGTGTGTGCCCAGCCCAAGGCGGACAGCTGGTGGCTCCCGGTGCTGGTGGTGCTGCGCCTGGTGTTCGTTCCGTTGTTCCTCCTCTGTAACATCGCCTCCAGGCCCCTGGGCATAACCCCCTTCAGACACGACGCCGCCTTTGTGATCATCATGCTGCTGATGGGCACAAGCCACGGTTACCTTGCCACGCTGGCCATGAGCTATGGGCCCAAGTAAGTGAATGCCGTGCCGGTGAGATGTTAACTCCGTCGCCTGGTACGCAGGAGGTCGTGGGTTTTATCCCGACCCTGACGCCTGCTGTATATTTGGAGTTTGCGTGTCTCTCTCTCTCCTCGTGGTCGCGTGGATTTTTTCTCTGGGTCCTCCGGTTTCCCCCTCTTTATTTAGAAATGTGCGTTTGGCGTATTTGGCTGCTATATATTTCCAAGTGATGATAAGCCACTTCGTTGAGCTATCATATGTGGCCTGGTCGCTTCTGAAAAAGAGCTAAATATAGCATCGTGGGCCTTACCTGGTAATATAAAAAAAATGTTTAGTGTACTGCACTGCAATACGACTCCTGCACACTTGCACTGGTAATTGTGCTATTGGATGTGATAACAAAATTGGGCCTGATTAATGTAGAGTTTAACATGTAGTCGTAGGCTTTCGCGACCAATTTTTTCCATTAAAGAGGTTTTGGGTTTACATCGCGTAAATATAAATGTTTTGTTAAATCCGCTACCACCCAACACAGCCAATTAGTAAGGTTTGTCACTTAAAAAAAAACATGCCAATTCGTTAATGGTACAGCACACCGGTGTGTTGGAGAGTAAACCCAAAACATTTACTGTCGGGTGGTGGCGGTTTTAACGACACATTTATATTTAACGATCTAACCCAAAAACCTTTATTATGTATCATGTAGCGTTTGGTTCTTGACACCGGGACTGGGGCAGCTACTGTTCACCAGGGGGAAGGGCAAGCGGGCTTGTGTCGCTGTTGTCCATGCACCATAACAATAGTTCCAGCTCATACAATATATACACAGCTGTGACTCATAACAACAACAGCAGCCGCCGTTCACCACTTAGTGGCAGTGACATCACCACAGGACTTGTGCCTGGCGAGGCACATTTTGAGGCCATGTGAAGCATCGAAGGCTCGCTGGCAGGAGGACAGGGGACAGACCCAGGTCGCATGGGTTGACTGAGATGACTGGCAGATGCACCAATTGTGCCCACTACTGTGCCAATTTGCTGCATTTTAGCCACCCGGCACTCCGAGGCGAATGTTTGTGAGCATCGCTCCTCTGCCCTCCATTGTTGTTGGAGGGCGACTGCCTCCAACTGCCCAGTAGCGTCCTTCACGAGCCTCCTCCACAAAGGCTGATCTTGACACCGCTGGTACCAGTCGTCGGCAAGTCCACTCGACTTCACATCCTCCTGTACCGCATCAGTTCATCTCTTCTGTAGCCCATGCCGTGCCCGTTTAGCCCCCTCCATCTGGCCAAACAGAAAGTGTTCGGGCATGTGGTGGCTGGGCCTAGCCCAATGCAATCTTGCCTGCTGGAGGAGCTCACCGATTCATCTCGCACACATGTGTAGTGTATCAAATTACTCACACTGACACGGAGTAACAGATCACCTGCTTACACTTTATTAATCCTACTCTCGCACCAGTTGTAGGCACACCTATGATTGCCTCTCACTGTGATCACACATGCCGCTTCCTCCTCCTACCTGCTCTTATCTACTCGGCCCCGCACCTACTCTTCTCCATCTTGCCAATGCTCCCTGCTCTTACCTACGCTGCCTCGCACCCACTTACCCGTCTGTCCCGGGCGGGGGGATCAGCCAACACCCGCCTGGCGACGAGGTGATGGGCGAGGTCCCGTTGACAGACCGAGCGGCAGTGGCGAGACGTCTCTTCTCTTGGTCCCCAAACAACACCTCTCTCTACTCACGCACACTCCTGCTTATATATCTCTCCTCATTCCGAGTCCTCACGCCTCTCCCACTCGCTAATCCCTAATTATCGCCTCCAGCTCCCGCCTCTGCGGCGTCTACTCCGTGCCCCAACGCTCACACCTGTTTGTCCCCAAATGCACCCTCTCAACTTTGCTCACTGTGTACATCCATTCTCTACACATGTACACACAAAGACAAATATTCCTCGTATAGCCTTAACAGACTGTTGGGGCAAGTGGTGTTAGTGAGCATCTATGAAGACCGGCACGGCACACGAGGGTGAGTGGCCAGCACCACGTCCAGTGACCTTTGTCTCCCTGGTGGTGATGTTTACAAACTGGACCAGGTACTCATTTGATGCTGAGTCGACCGAGGGGAGGCCCAGGACCGGTTCAGATAATTCTGTGCACACACACACAAATGTGCAAATGTGCATATCAATGGTTTCACCCTCTATGAAGGTAAGTAAGCTCGAACGCATCTTAACATCACCACTGGCGAGACAAAGGCAGCGGGTGGTGATCATACCGCCGCCGAGTGTGACCCGTGCTGCCTTCAATCACTAATTGCTAACAAAGTTTACTGCATCAGTCTACACCGGCTAAACGGAGGATCTTTTTCTTTGCAGTGAAGTTGTGGGGTATAGATCCCCACGCGCCCCCAGAGTGTGATTTACGCCATTCCGCACGATGGCGGAACATACGGCATGTTTGCAGAAATGTTTTCCCCATCGCTGGTGAAACATTACAGAGAGTTGAAACAAAAACCTACCACACCATATAACAGATATTGGCTAAGCATCCCAGTTCTAAGACGTTTCCTGCAAATTACTCGATTGAGATTCTCCTCCAACGCACCGGTGTGCTGAATAGGCCTTGGCAAGGTAAGGTAAAAGTTAAAATGTAAAAAAAACAAGCCTACCTTTACCTTACCTTTTACCTTACCACAATACAATCACTCTACCCTACCTTTTACCCTTTAGCAGGTAAGGTAAAAGGTAAAAAGCAACGAGTCTACCTTTTCTTTACCCCATACAAATTACCCGATTAAAGGGTAATTACTAGGGAACTTCACATGAAAAGGTCGAAACCACACGAGGCTACGATTAGTTATTACTGCGTTGCCTCTCCTTCAATCAAACGCGACACCTCTCCTCACACAGCTCCGCGCAACACTCACACACTGTGAGCGTACGTACACACAGCACCGTGCGCATTCACACTCTAGTCGAAACCACACATAGGTTGCGATGCCCAAGGGTCTGTACCCGATATATCTAATTTGATAGGCTCTAAGCGGTTTTGTTTTTTCTAGCCTCAATCCCAATACTCCTTTTCCCTCTTATTCACGGTTAGATGCGTACGGCGCTCCGGTGGTCTAGTCCTCGCGGCACACTTCGACGCGTCGCACGGACGTTCGAGTGGCCGAATTGGAAACCGTCCCGGGCGCTGACTTCTGGAGCAAGAGAGCATTTTACCTCTCTGCGCCCTCCTTTTATCCTCAACCTACATCAAAGAACGCCGACTCGAGCGCCTTCTCGGGCAATCGGATCACCACGCCCGTTCAGCCGCATTCCTGGTTTCTCTAACAATGGGTCCCCCACCGATTGCGGCGCCTTTGTTATGCCAATCAGTCGCGGTTTCCGTAACAAAGGCTCGCCGCGGCTGCTGCACGGTGGCGGTCCCCGTGCACACCTGCCACGCTAATCAGCCGCCCCCCCCTCCTCCTTGGCTTCCCCTTCGTTCGTGGCTGTGGACCCCTGCCGGCCTTGTCGATACGTGTGTGTGGGGGGTGCGTTTCAACCGTGGTGGCTGGACAGCCCCCACTGTGACCATGCAATCTCAACCCGGGTCACAGCGCCGCGGTGTGAACCAGCATCGGGGGAGGTCGCCCAATTCCCTGGCCGCAGGAAACCGTGACGATTATCCCTATGAGGGCTTTCGGGTAAAAACCTGCCGGCCAGGAGACCTCCCCTCGGAGCTCTATGTGGGAACATGTGTGAGCGTGTGTTTATGTGGGGGGCGGTGAGGGGGAAGCGGGGCCAGCCCGTCGCTTGGTGGTGGCGAGGTCGTAGATGGGGCGCACGCCGAGCGGCTTCGCGACGGCGGCATCACATATGCTAGGTGAGGGAGTTAACACCAAATGCAGAGCAACGGGTTCTGTAGCTTTAAATAATATTAACTGGGCCATTCCTCAGTTGTGTCACAGGAATTGGGAGAATAGGCGCGATTGTGAGGGGGGCGTTGGCCGTACTTTCATTGCGAAATCTTGGGAGGAGCGACTTTCTACAAATAACAGTTATACGTAATGCTGCCAAAACGAACTACATAAACTGGGCTCTTTGAGTTCGACATGAAGAAACATGTTTACATATTTGCGGCTTATGATAAACTGTGCATACAGTATGTACATGCATGTGTAAGGGTATGTATTCTTAGCACAACCTGTGCTACCTGGGCCTGTCCTGTGACCTGTTGGTGAGCCTTCGATACTTCGCGTGGCCTTGGAGTGCACCTGGCCCGACATGGCGGTGACGTCACGTTGGTGTCGCCGTGACGTCACCGCCAATTAGTGGCGAATGGCGGCGGATACTGTTGTTGGTTTAATGGTTAATGCTTCACTGCACCACAAACCAAGGAATTCTGCCTTCAATTGCTGTTTGTGCACATGCAACATTTAGCATTTGTGCCTGAAACGAGCCATTCTCAGTTTAGTTTGTTCTCCTATAACGCGGTAATAGTTGCGTTCCTGAAGAACGTCGTGTTTTGGAAAAAAAATGCGTAGCTCCGTTCACTCGATCGCGTTACATCCAATTCGCATCCGCGTTATAAAAAAAAAATGTGCATCCAATTCGCGTTGTGCAAACAACACGCGGCGTTATAGGATAACGAACTGTACTTGACATTCAGAGTTTGGGGAACAACTACTTGTGCCGAGTGGAGAAATAGTAGCTGCTGCGTGCAAAGGAATGACCCTACCACCACCCACTTGTGTGCTGTTCCAGCCATATTAAGGGCTCTGTTAACAATTACCCTGACAGTATACTCAGACTAACAAAGGGGTTTGTTGTGTGTATTGTGCGTGCGTGTGTAGAAACGTCAATGCCCACCAAGCGGAGACAGCTGGCGTGATCATGATGACATTCACTGCACTGGGTTTGGCGTTGGGAGGTGTCTCTTCTTTTATAATCACTTGGTATTTGTGACCTCAGTCCAAGTGGCCTGCATCGAATTTATTTTTGAGAGATTTGACCAGAATGGTGCACAACCCAACCCATTGGATTGTTTAATTAAGGACCCCAGCACGGTTAGTTGGGGTACAAGGAAACTACTTTGTACTACAAGTACTGTTCGCAACATCAGTGCTTTTGTTTTACATCAAATATTGTATTTCCGCGTATGCGATAAGTACATTTATAGATAAAAAGACATTTAGGGGATCCGTGGTAGCGAGATGCTAACTACCTCGCCTGATATAAAGGAGTTCGTGGGTTCGATCCCGACCCCTGACACCTGTATTTTTGCAGTTTGCGTGTCTTTCTCCCCGTGGTCACGTGGATTTTTTCTCCGGGTCCTCCGGTTTTGCCCTCCATGCATTATTTAGTCATTAATTCACTGGTGGAAGAGGGCCGATCCACACCTCGTCATGGGGGTAGTTTTGCCATTCCAGCGTGGTCAGTGTGGGTCGATACAAAAATTGCCCCGGACCAATGCAGATATCACTCCCCACTAATATTAGCCATGGCTCATCTGTGTACTGGACATCTGTGAAAAAGAGCTTCATAGCTCATCGGATTCCTCCAGTATATTCTGATTCTGATTGCAACGCACCAACGTCTGGACACATTTCAAATCAACATCACAGGTTCAGAGTATTTGGCTGCTATTAAAAATTGTCGCGCAATGAGCCACTTCGTTGACTTATCATTTGTGATAGCCATGTCGCTTCTGAAAAAAAGCAATATAGCTTCAGTGGGGCCTTACCTGGTCAAATAAAACATTGTTTAGTTTAGACGAAAATATTGAAATCTGGTCAGGCCTCACCAACAGGAGGTTCTCGCTGGAGATGTTTTCGCCACTTTCCTGGTTGTCCATATTTAGAAACCAGAGTTCCTGGGAAAAAAACCCACGTGTACAGAGAGGAGGACAAGCCCCTACTTGTTGTGCTGCCTCCGATTTTCCCCTCGTTGGTATCCCACGTTAATCAGAATCAGAACATGCATTTATACTGGAGGAATCCGATGAGCTATAAAGCTCTCTTTCATAGATGTCCGGTAGTTTTCACAGATGTTCGGTAAACATGAGAACCCACATGTAGCAAACATGAGAAGCTGCACTTTTGCTTGCTATTCAGATGAATACTTTCCTCTTATTCACACGTGAATCCCCTTGCTCTCATGACCTACCTAAGGTATAGCCACTGAGTCAGTACAGAAGAAGTTTGCTCTGATCAACCCCGTTAATTTTCTATTTAAAAAGGGGATTGAACATATGTTAATGGTCATATACGATGCTTATAACGTGGACCTTTAAATTGGGGTCTCTCCACTTTAACCACAACACAGATGTGAAGCTATTAGCGACTTCCATCAGGATTATTGTGGCCATTATGTAGAGTTAATATTACAAGTCAGTTCACTGGCCAATTGTCTTATGGGTGGCTTCAGCCCATTTTGAATATCAAAAAAATTCAAAGCTCCTATCGTGTTCGTGTGGCGACAGTAAGCAGTCCAGATGTGGGAGTGGGGTACAGGCCATCTTCTGTGGATAAATCAGCGTATTGGGTGACTTTGATACATTACTAAGAAGGCTGAAGCATTGCAGTCTTGAGACTGCTCGGCAATAGCTGTATTTAAACATACATTGTATAAACTTTGACTCATTGCTTATTTATTTCCTGCAGAGGTAGGGCACCATAAACACGCATCGTAGTCGAAGCCAACGTGTCTCGGTGCTCACATGAGCATGGGGTGATCACCTCTTTTGGCCACTTGTGAGCCAGCGGTGGATATTCTAAGTTCCTATGGCTGGTGGGGAGGGGTCCCTTAATCGGGACAAATGTCGACTTTCCCACAGATATATATTTTTAATCTTTCCCAATGGGATCATTGGCAGCGTCATTCCTTGATAGGGGATTAAAGTAATGTAATTCGAGTGACCCATGCACCAGTATCGTCACCAGCACGGTCAGCAGTGCACGCACAGAAGCCAATCAACGGGTTTTAAGAGCAGTGCTCAGATGAAGCGTGCACAACCACGCGTATTACTGTCCAGTTGCACTGTGGAGCAAGCCACGACTTGGCCGGTGAGATTCCGTAAAAGTTAAACCAACCCGGGGTTCGCCTTGTTTAAACACGTGCTACTGGGCGATGTTTATATGAGAACACCATTTGCTCATGAATTAAATGTTATTTAGCTTCAGTGCTTTAAATAAGAAAAATGTATGCCCATAATTCAACAAGGTTGCACATTTTGTCCTTGAATATAAGACGTTGAGTACACTGCATCACGAGTGAGTATTCCATCTCCAATTTTTCTAATTGTGCCTTGTGTGCTAGAAATACATCTAATGTATGTACATAATACATACACACATATCTATGCAGAAAAAGTTTTTTTGCAATCTTCGACCCAGGTGGATATAAAACAAGTTAATGATGGTGTGTTGGTGGTCTGAGCAAGAGCAGTACAAAGGCTCACGGCTGTTGTCTCTTGCTTGAAGTTATCCCGGTAGGTATTTTAAAAATTGTATCAAAGACCCGCCTTTCCCGCTACTTACATTAACTCTTCTAACCCACAATTTCTTCAACAAAGGAGTGCAAATGATGGATGGACAAGGCACCTTCCGCTTGCTTCCTGTATATTTGGAGGTTGCGGTGTCTCTCTCTCTTCGTGGTCGCGTGGAATTTTCTCCGGGTTCTTCGGTTTTCCATCCACATTTAGAATCAACGTGCGTTTAGAGCATTTGGCTGCAATAAATGTCCACACGATGACAAGCCACTTCGTTGAGCTATTATTTCTGATGGCCAGGTCGCTTCTGAAATAGAGCTAGATAGCTCAGTCAGGCCTTACCTGGTAGAATAAAAAAATTGTTTAGTTATTTTCCCCACATACGCCCTTTGCAGCGTACACATGACTTCATCCCCCCCTTTATCTGACTGGCCAATTGGTTCCGCAGTAAGAGCGAACGGATTGCGATTGGAAAGGTCGCGAGTTCAAATCCTGGCTGGTGGTTGACTCAGCTCATCATCACTCAGAGGGGGGTCGATAAATTGAGTAGCACTTTGTGCGGAAGTCAACATTGGTTGTCCTATGGACAGACTCGTCCCGCCCCCTCGTCATAGGAATGTGGAATTTTCACCACTGCCTTAGAGATGTAAATGGGAGATGAGCACTGTCTCAATGCTCATTTGAGCGGGAAACTCACTCAGGACTTCTGGGATGTTCAAAAACATTAAGGACTATCTATAACAGGGCCATGGCTGAGTTTTATCACAAGTGTAGGGGTGTTACGGGAGGGCGAACAAACACACAAGGGGTGGTTATGCCCGCACGTGGAAGGATGCTTACATCCACGTCCGCATCGGTTAGCCCTGGGGGGCTGTAACGGCGCTGTGATCCCCCACGGCCCCAACCCTCGGGGGGGAATTGCTATAAGGTGGTGAGCCGGTGGGCTCGGGGTTCAGTATTCAGCTTAACCAGTGAAGAGTGAAGACCGGCTAGATAGGTCCTGGGACTCCCCTGGATCGCTGTCCTTCTAAGGACCGACCAGGGCAAGCCAGTGGCGTGGCCCCGAGAGCCCAGAGCCGATGCTCTTGTAAGAGCCGGTCTGGTGGCTAAGGGTGCCGTGATCCTAGCTTGGCCAGAGCTGGATCAGCTAGCCTCCTCTAGCTCTCGAGTGGAGGACCTGGGAGTAGGCTAGCCGGGCTAGAGTTAGTGGGGTCTCCCTGTTAGACGGGTGAAGGGGCCGTTACCCCTTCAAGTGTTGTATACATTGGCCTGTGCTGAGTGTAAAGTTATAATAAATAAGTGTGCTCCGTCTACGTCTCATTGAACCTACTACACAAGCATGAAGAACCGCTCTTTTCAATTATCCTTTGAATGTTCAAAGTTGTTTTCGTGCTGGCCGATACGAATTAACATAATTAATGCTGTGAACATCGACTTTGGTTTATGATAGAAGACGGTTGACGAAGTTGCATTACCTATTATACTGGTAGGAACCTCCTGGTTACACCAGCCCACATGGATTATTGTGTCCGTTCGTCGTGCAGGGAGGGGCTGGGTGGGGAGGGTGGGGAGGGGCTGGGTGGGGAGGGTGGGGCTGGGTGGGGGGTGGGAGGGGTGGGGCTGGGTGGGGAGGGGCTGGTCACCCCGTGATGCCGTTATAAAACTCAACGTTTAACTTACTCACGCCGGCTTGTGCCCACCCTCACAGTCGGGCATATTTGCGGAATACACCACGCCGCCGTTGACCCTGGCCATTGACCGAGCAACCCAACGTTCCTACCAGCTCCCTCTGCAGGAATGTGTTAATCACCCAGAAATGTCTGTCCGTCCCGCGCGTGACGTCAATCTAAATTAGGCCCACCCCCCCGCGTGACGTCACTCCACATGAGGCCCACCCCCCGCGTGACGTCACTCCACATGAGGCCCCCCCCCATTATTAATATTCATGCATGAGTGGATTTTTACACTAACGCAGGTCGAGCTGAATAAAATAATTTATTAAAGCCGCTTCAAATATGACGTTTCTTTACAGAAAGTGACAGTAAAAACTACATCTACGCAGCACAGTGCGACATCCGTGCGTGACGTCACTGCAAAAGAGGTCCTCCATTAATATTTATGCCCGCGTGGAAATTTACACCAACGCACAAGAAGGTCGCGCACTCCACATGCTGCACCCCTCCCCTCATTAATATTCATGAGCAGGTGACGTCCTCCAAATGGGCACCCCCCCACACCTCATTAATAATCATGAGCGGGTGACGTCACTCAATATGGAGTACTCCCCCCCCCTCACTAATAATCATGCGAAAGTGACGTCACTCTACATCTAACAGCCCCCCTCATTAATAATCAAAGCAGGTTACGTCCTCCAAATAGACACCCCCCCCGCCAATTATTATTACCTACTATAATGAGCCAATAATGTCTGTGTGCAATACTCGTGACGTCACTCCATGTCGACCAGCCTCCCTCATTAATTGTCATGAACAGGTTATGTCCTGGACGTCGTCCTCCGATCTTACATTAACATGCTAATCTCTCACATTAACATAGCCACCTCCGCACCGTCTTGGACGTCGTCCGCGGATCTCACATTAACATGCTTATCTCTCACATTACCATCACTAGCCATGCCCACTTTGTTTATGACCCTTGGGCTACACCCATTATAAACCTTTAAAACAGTCTGCCTCTGCAGCTTTACTCTTTTTTCCTCCTGATGACGATCGCTTGTGTTGTGATCGAAACGTCGTAGTTTTTTGTTATTTTCTTTCAACCTATCTACGTGACTTTACCGAAAGACCCAAATAATATGTTAGGTCCTCCACATGGACCCTCCTCTCGGACCTCCCCCCCCCTCATTAATATTCATGAGCAGGTGACGTCACTCCACATCGAACAGCCCCCCTCATTAATATTCATTGACTGGTGACGTCCTCCAAATGGACACCCAACCATTAATATTAATTAGCGGGTGACGTCACTCCACATGGGGGGCCGAGGCGCCTCCTCCCCCCTCCTCAGCGTCAACTTATAACCCTCACTACAAAGGCAGAACCCTCACGTCACGTCACGCGATCTCTGTGATGCTGTTGAGACATCAAAGCAAAAAGGACTTCATGATGAACAAGGGATTATAACCTTAAAATGAAATAGGTCTTCATCTTCTTGGTTCTTTCGGTAAAGTCACGTAGAATGGAAACAATAAAATAATAAAAATAAAACATAATAAAATAATTCTCACGACGTTTCGGCCACAACGCAAGCAGCCGTCCTCAGGTGAAGACCAGGTCTGTCGGGGAGACAGCGTCTGAATGAAACACCACCATGCTTGGAGCGTCTATTTAAGCTGGGTTGGAAGGGGGAAGGGCGCCTTGACAAAATAATTTGCATATCAATAGGAATTTTAGAATATTTATGGGAAATGCAGGTATGTGATTAGTACTACTTGTGAAATGCATAGGAGGTGGGCGGGGGGTTTTCAAAGTCATATTATGCCCGTGCATTATGCAGGATTAGCAGCATCAAAGGGAGGGGATCGGGGTAGTATTAATAAAGGGAAGGAATGTTAATAGTATGTAGCTGCTGTAACTAAACAACCACGTAAAAAACTAAAGTATGAACTACATAGTATCATCAGTATACTAAATATACTCTCCAATAAGCTGAGCTATTAACAGTAAGTAATACATTACAATTGTGATGCCGCCGCCACGAAGCCGTTCGGCAGGCACCCTATCCCCGACCTCGCCACCACCAAGCGACGGAGCCAACCCCTCGTCCCCCTCACCTCACCTCACATGAACACACCCGCACGCATCCCCCCCCCCCATAGAGCTGGAAGGGGAGGTCACCTGATCGACCGGTTTTTTCCGAGAAACCCTTATCTGGATTAACTCTCACGGTTTCCGGCGATCAGGGAATTGGACGACCTCCCCCGACGCTACTTTGCACCGCGGCGCTGCGACCAGCCTTAAGATGGTATGGCCGCAGCGAAGGGCATTCGGCCACCACGGTTGAAACGCATCCCCCACACACACCCCCCACGTGTCGACGAGGCAAGCAGGGGAGGGACGGGACAGCATGAGTAGCGGGACCGCCGGGGCTCTTGCGCATAGTCACGGATGGTTAGGATAATTACGCTTGAGCGCGCAGGCACCATTGTTAGGGAAGGTAAAGGATTAAGCTGAAAGTATGAATAGATCGGGAGAGGGGAGGCACGCGAGTCCGTACACAGATTCCCACGGCGAGCCTTTGTGATGGACACCACCGCATAAGTTGCATAACAAAGGCGCCGATTGCTGAAGAAGAACTGGGGGAGGGCCGCCATCACGCTCGGAGCCGCATCCCTTTGATGTAGGGAGGATAAAAAGGGGGCGCAAAGGGGAAATCGCTCTCACTCCAGCGCCAGGCGACAGGACGGTCTCCAGTCCAGCGACCCGAACGTCCGTGAGACGCATCGAGGTACGCTGCGAGTACGGGATCAACGAACCGCCGTGGGCACCTAACAGTGAGTAAGGAGGGGAAGTAGGATCATAGCCGATAAATAGGGAATAGGTCCAGGGGTAGTAGGATAGGCCAGACTCCAGTTCCAGGTAGCAAATAATAAATCCTTAATAGCTGCCCGTGTCTCCGTGTGATCTCGCTGAGAAGTGGGAACGCGTGTGGTGCTGTGTACACAGCGGCTCGTCATGTGGGAGCGCTGCGTAGAGCGGCGCACGAGTGGGTATCGCGTGTGTGCAGGTGTGTGTGCTCGTAGCGTGGGGAAAGCGCTCGGTGCGTCCACAGGTATCAGCTCCGTCTATCACCGCAGGGACTCGCGCAGTGTGAGGGCAGTGTCATTCGCCCTCCGACCCCTGACCCCCGTTTAATAGCGCGTGATTCATGGAGAGACAACGCAGCGTTTACAGGTGAACGAGAGCGTGCGGCGAGCTATGCCTCTCACACGAGCTCGCGGAGGGACGGACAAGGGAGGGGAGCCGTCGGGCGAGGAGCCCAGCGACGGCAGCAGCTGCTCGCAGAGTAGCGAGGGGTCGATGAACAGCAGAGCCCCTGCCATAGGCACGGAGCAGGGAGGGACTTCGGGGACCAGCGGCCCCAACAACATGGTGTCAGAAGTCGTACGAACCCTCACGTCTTCACGGGAAGGTAGCGCGTTACTCCACGCAAAGGTAAGGCATGTGTTCACCGGCCAGGGGACCCCTACATGGAAAGCGTTTTCCCGCAATATCATAGGGGCTAAAGAGCTGAATGGCTGGTCGGACGCGCAGGCGTTACGACATCTTACGTTGAACCTGGACGGGCGGGCAGCCGACTTTGTAGAGGCACTACCCGAAAGCGCGCAAACCCAACTAGAGGAACTAATGCGTAGATTAGATCTGCGTTTCGGCACGCGCAACGCGATACAGGCAAAGACGGCCTTAGAGGCGCGCCGACGCCAACCCGGCGAGGAATTTTGAGACTACGCCGAGGACGTGCGATCACTAACCCGGATCGCCCGTCCAGAGT